CATTTGGATTGGTTCATTGTGAAACAAATAGAAGTTGAAAGCCACATTTAAGGAAAATCTGAACCCTTGACTGTTTTTTTTTTTTCCCTTCCCTCTCCTTCTTTCTGTGTAGGGATTTGACGGCTTCATTCACCAAGCGTAGCACAACACATTAAATATTTTTGTGTCTGCACCCGGTCTCACTTATATATCATTTCATGATAGCCAGCAAGGGGGTTGGTTACTAGTGTGAGTCTCGGGTTTTGAGTACACAGTCTCGGAGGAGGAATAGGTTTTGCATTTGGGGTAAATAAACTGGACTCTCCCAAGGTAGACAGAATGAGTTATGCGCTGTTTGCTGCGTGATGTTTATAAACTGTTTATATGCCAAATGCAGAATCTGTGGCTGCTAACTGGAACTGGAGACAGGGGGAACCCATGGTCCAAACCCAGAGGAGTGACTGTGCAACCAGTAAAGCGAAGAGATGGGGAGAAACATTTCATCTGCCGTTGTCCAGAATTTGAGGAAGGGATAGAATGATTTTTCTCCTAGCGGCTGGGATCCATGTGGCTGCTTGTTGGAAAGTGATGAGAGAGAAAAAAAAAAAAAATAAAAAAAAATCTCTGCCTTGAGAGATTTCTCCTGGTTTTGCAGGGCTCTGGAGGCATCAGTCTTTTTTTTTACCCCAGGTCACTTGTCATATCCATATTGTTTCCAAGCGGTAAAAAATAAGAATACTTCATCCTGCTTGTAGCTGAGAATCCTCTGTAGAGCTTACCCACCTCAGCAGGGCTTGGTTATTTCCAGAAACAAAAAAAAAAAGCCAGTTCTGACTCGGTTTTATCTAAATGCTGCTTCCCCTCCTCAGCAAATGTCCCTGTTTCTCTGGTCTTGGGGGTACAAAGTGGGGCAAGACCGTGGCTCTAGCGTAAGGGATGCAGAAGACCCCCAGACGTGTACAGGGGTCTGTATCGAGGCAGCAGGGCTTCGTCCTCAGGAATCGTGGGCCTCCACACCTCGCATGAGAGTGGTGTTGAGCTTTCCTCTGCCCCCATGTGTTTCAGACTCGGTTTTCAGCCAGCAGCTGGGGACTCCACCAGTGACCCTGTGCTGTTGCCCCCCAGCCACCTTTTCACAGCTTCTAATTCAACAAACAATACCTTAAAAATATAACAAACCACCCCAGTGTGTATTTATTCCTCTGCTTTAATTGCTGTCTTTCTGTACACTCTTAAGTCTCTCTCCAGAGAGGTTTATGTTTTATTGCAAATAGTTTTTCATACCTTGCATAGTGTAAACACCGACCAGGTTACGGGGTTAATCTGTTTGACTTCTGGTGTTGGGAACAGGACAGGCCACTTCTGGTTAAAACAACTCTCCTGTGGACCTTCCTGGAGTTCAGGAAGAATTATTTTGAATGGGGATCTGAGTGTCAGTTGTCTTGCAGTAGTGCTAATACGTTTCTTATGACTAAACACTTTTTCTCCCCCAAAAATTCAAGGTATAAGTGGCAGGTACTTGTGGTCAGGATTAATTATGGGTGTAGTCAGCTAAAGTTGCCTTAATTTACCCTAGAGGTGACTGTGACCTCATGTTAGTCTGAAATATGTTTTTACAGACCCTGGTAATGCTTCCTACATGATTCCCTGATACTTTTTTTTTTTTAACCTTTGACCAGACATGTGGTCAGACCAGGTGGAGGACGGTCTCACATTTTAACATCTTTCAGGAGAGATCCCACATTGCAGTGAATAGGCAAATCCTATGGACTCCCACTTCCCACAGGGAAAAGAGGGGAGGGCGTTTGAGAAAAATGATTTGCTTAGAATAGTTTCCCATTTAACATCCTCTGTCAGGTTCTGAAGGTTGCTTTTATGCAGAAAGGTAGGATAAAATTTACGGTACCTTCCCTAAGGCCACTGGGCATGACCAGAATATAAAGGCATGTGTTGTGCATAGGGGAAGAAACACTGGGATTCTTGTGTTCTAAAATTTATAAGGTATATTCCTTTTAGAGTGGGGAAATAATTATTTTCAGAATTGTGGAGATCACATACCCCAGAGATACAACAGTAGTTGCCAGAGGGGCAGGGGCTATGTAGAAAATATATCTGTCGGACCTGTGATCTGGGGTTTGCATTCAGGTTGTTTTCAGCTCTCTAAGTGAAAAGTACTTTGAGTGAAAAGTGTTTTAATGGCGCTTAGCAGCGTTAGAACAACGGAGAGGAAGGTGGGATCTGACTCCTGGAATGCACGGGGAAAGAAGTCCAAGAGCTCTCACATGCAGGATCTTTCCAGCAGAATGCTGGTACCAGATCTGCTGTTAACGTGTGTTAGGTCAGTCTGTGGTTTGTTTGTTGAGGGCACCCGCAGCCGTTTTGCAGATGACACCCAGTTGGGTGGGAGTGTTGATCTGCTCAAGGGCAGGGAGGCTGCAGAGAGACCTGGGCAGGCTGGAGCCATGGGCTGAGCCCAACTGGGGGAGTTTCACTGAGGGCAAATGCCGGGGGCTGCCCTTGGGCCACAACAACCCCCAGGGGGGCTCCAGGCCTGGGGAGGAGTGGCTGGAGAGCTGCCGGTCAGAGAGGGACTGGGGGGTGAGAATGAGCCAGAGTGTGCCCAGGGGGCCAAGGAGGGCAACGGCATCCTGGCTGGTGTCAGCACTGGCGTGGCCAGCAGGGACAGGGAAGGGATCT